GATCTGCATGTATAACAAACATCTTCTATTAACGAAACTTTTCATAATATAAATATGAAGATCCAGCCAAACCGAAACGGGACCGACCGAAACCGAACTGAAATTTTTCGGTTTGAACTGAACCGTTCGGAGCTTTAATGGTGGTGGTGGCTATTGCCCGCCACTCGTCGTCACTCTAGTTATTACTGTTAAAAAAGAATGATGGTGGTTATTGTCATTCTAATTCTATGCAAACTTACGCAATATCTCTCATTTCTTGATGTCATTAGTCAAAGTCAAAATGGATCGAAATCACTATCACCATCCGATATAACTAATGTCATATCTACGTCCATCACAGAGTAATTTTTTGATAAATTGATAATGATAGTATCAAGTTTTTATTAATTTTGATTCATTTATTTTAGAGAATCAACATTGGAAAAGATAATTATAATGAAAAAAAAGATCTTATTAAAACTTGGAGAAATTGATAATGAGATTGGTGTATTTAACGAATTTGATGAATTTTTATTGAAAAAAAGCACAAAAAGACTCCGTATTTTTTCAAGAATACTTGATATTTGTAAGGAGCTGATAATATCAAACGTGGTGGCAACAAAACGGTAATATTTATGTTATTATTATTCACACAAGGGAGAAAAAAAAATAAAAATAAAATATTTCCCTTTCCATATATTAATATTAATAGAAGCGTTTATTACCGTGATGTAAACCTGTTTGGGAATTCAGAACGTGTTGATCGGGTAAAAATAATCAATTATTTACTAAATAGTTATTTTCTTTGATAGAAAATATTGATTCATAATAAAATCTAATAATAAAGGCTATAGATGATTTATGTTGTATTTTTCGGGTTACGGGAAGATCCCTAAATTTGGTGAGAGAAAATAATAAAATGAATAATATTTATGACAAAAAAAATCTGTAACCACGGCAATTAGTTAATTAATATTTTAATTGAAAAAAGATTGCTTCTGCAAAAGGGTTGATTTCTGGAGATTTTAAGCTATTCAAAAACAATCAAATTATTTTAGAAGATTCTATAAATTCAACAAACCTTGGTGGGGTTCTAATTCAACCAATCGAAATTAATAATAATATAGAATATAATATCCTTTTATATTGATCTATTTGTTATTGCATGAACAACATTGACTGAAAAATTAAAGGTTTTTTATGCTATTATTATCATTTAATTATCATTTATTTATTTATCTAATAAACAATTAGAAAGTGAAGCAAAAATTATCATTGTTGTAGAGAAAGAGGTAAATAACTAATTATTAAAATATAATCATATTAATACTAATTAACCAAACTTTTTTGTTATTTAGGCAACTTTTCAGACATTATTATCTAACAAAATATTTCAAAAGTTAGATTCGTGCATGTTAATTACTGTAAGTACTATCAACATTATTATATATGTGGGAAAAAATCTTATCTTGTTTTCTAGTAGTAAATTAACGAAAGGATTTTTTCCCAGATTGTATATATATTAATTAATTAATTTATCAATGAAAAAATCAACTAATTAAAGAATTTTTATTTTGAATATTTTATAGGGAAAGGGCTATCCTGTAAGTCACACACACACCCACATATAAATTTCTTTCCCTTCTAAAAAAAGGAAATAATGACTTATTTTTTCCCTTCAATTTTTTCATTGAAAAAGGATGTTGCGACTAGGCAACTAATTAAATTATTTTGTGATTTACAACCTAAAATCAAAATTTTGGGCTTCTTTGATAGTGATCCTCACGGTAGGTACATTTTTATGATTAATTATTGATTAATTATTTTTAAAAATTATTATTATTTAATAATTTATCTATTTATAAATCAGGGATAGAAATTTTAAGTATCTATAAATACGGGTCGCAGGCAAAAATATTATTTTTAAATAATCAACCATAGCATTAATTAAAAAAAGTTCAGACATTATTTTTTTTTGTTTATTTTTCTAGACATCATGGAACTTTAATTGATTTTATTAATGTATATTACCTAAAACCCCAATTTGTTTTGTAAAAAAAAACCAACTTGTTGAAAATATACAATATCAATGAATTCACTAACGATATTTTAAAAATAAATAATTTCTTACACTTATTCTTTGATTTAGACCTAGTCTTTATACCCCTTTCTTCTTTTTTTTATTGTTTGATCATTTTATTAATAGCAACTACACGATTATCCTGAAACTGCCGATAAAGGATTTTTTGTATTACTTGATGCGTTAAATGAGTTTTGTGATACAATAGAAGGGATTACCGAAGATGATGTTAGAGCATCAATTATTGAATGGTATAGTAACACTACAGTAGCTAGTACAGATATTGTTCGAGTAAAAGTAAATATTATAATGCTCTCTCCTTTAGTGATATTGCTATATATATGAATGAAGATGATGCACAAAATTATAATATGGCCAAAGGAACATGTTTTGGAAAGGTATAAATTAAAAATTATTATTTATTTATAAAAATTAAATAGGTATTAATGCTACTTCGTTTAAAAAATCAAATAAATTCATATGAAGTGTCATATTATTTAGCATTAATACAGTGTACGATTTCAAATATCAAGCAAAGAATTGATTATTTAAATATGGTTGTCTGCATAGAAATGTTTACATTAATCGCTATAGAAACTATTATTGAATTAGTCCATGCTTTGGGAAAGAAAATAAATATTTAGTAAACAAACTTCTTTTTTAGTTGTAGTTGAATATTTAGCAAATTTAAATAATAAATTAAAATACATAGCAAATTAAAATATAGTATTATCCCTTAAACGGTCAAAGGGTCGATATATCGACCCTTTACATATAAACCATTCCAAATTTAGTTCTGATTGTATCACTTCCTAATATGAAAATGATCTTTAGGTCAAAATAATACGATCTATAAATAAAAATTCGGCTGCTATTAATATTGTTTTTGTAAAACCTTCTTTAAAAGTCAAAAAATGGTCATTCTTTCATGTAACAAATTTGCAGATCACCAAAGATTTGCCCGAAGTTTAAAAAATACTATCGCTTTCAAAAAAAATATATAAGGGAAGTAAGTTCTTTTGTTTTTTTTGAATTTTATTGAAATAAATCAACTATTCTTTAATTAAATTTTCAAATTAATATTTTTTTAAAAAAAAAGGAGTATTGAAAAAACTATTCATGATTTTGGAGAAATTGACAAGTATTCATGCAATATCATCAGGAAAATGTCTTTAACTATATTTAATGAAGAATATGAAACAAACGATGATGGTGATGATGAAATTTCACACATTAAAAGAAATTTTCGTGCTACATTCAATTTTTAAAATTTGTGTTCCATTAAAAAATCCGAAATTTATTAATGTGACCGTTTAAGGGATAGTCTAATTAGGAAAAGTTCATAAAAAAACTAAATTAAACAATATTAAAATAAAAAGTTTTTATAATATTTATCATTCGCGACAATAAAATTTTTGTAAAAAAAATCATGGGTCACACAGATCTGCAAAAATCAACTATTTTGCAAACCACAATAATATTATTATTTAGTAATGTGTGTTTAATTATTTGTATAAAATCATTATTTAGAAATATGAAAATTTTGATTAATTGACGATCCGTGAATGAATGAGAGAATTTTTGTGTGATCGGTGGGGCAAAAATGTAAAAAAATCAGCATGGTGGAAGTTTGATTTTATTGGATATAAGATGTGACAAAATAAAATTTAGGTTTTTACCAAAATTAGAAAAT